CCGAGGAAGAAGTGCGAATTTTTATTCGCTTTTGCCATGATAACTAGTAGGAGTAATGCCCCTTGATCGGCGCAGACACACGTGCACGTGTTTCGTGGGGCAGCCTTGCTGTCCTAGGAGTCAGTAATCGATCGTGAAGAGGTGCCACTTTCCCAGAGGCCCCTCCATTTAGATTAGTTCTCTCTGTTGGTTTTTTCTCATAGCGCTTACTGCCGTCTGTAATTGCGCATTGTTTTTGTGTTAACTTTTAAAATGACTCACTTCCTCCGTCAGACCGCATGCTCTGTGAGGTCAGGAATTATGTCTGTTCTGTTCATCCCTATATACCCTGGATATATAGTTCAGTAGGTGACTGATCGTTAAATTGACAGATGAACAAAGTGCCCCTGGTGGATCTGGTACCACTCTAGGTCCAACAGTGCATAGTAAGTACGCATGCATTGAGCACTTACTAATGCCAGGTATTTTGCTGGGCACTTCTACATATGTTATTCCATTTATTCTTTTCAAACAAAACTTTCTTATTGAAGTATGACATTCAAGTCATAGTATGTAGCTGGTAAATTATCACAAGGTAGACACTCCCATGTAGCCACCACCCAAATCAAGAAATGGAGCATAACCGGTGCCCCAGGAGTCCCTCGTGTGTCCACACGCAACCCCCCCCTTCTCTCTAGTGGCATCATCATCCTAATTCTAACACCTTAGATTAGGTTTTCCTCTGTTTGAACTTGAGGTAAATGCAGTCATTCAGCGTGAATTCTTTTGCGTCTGGCCTTATTTTCCTTGATATCATGCTTATGAAATTCTTCTATTTTAATTGAGATTAATTCACATATAACATTGTATTAGTTCCAGGTGTACAACATAATGATTTGATATTCGTAGGTACTATGAAATGATCCCCCTAATAAGTCTAGTTAACATCCGTCACCACACGTAATTACAAATTTTTTTTTTCCTGTGATGAGAACTTTTAAGATCTCTTGGTGACTTTCAAATACACAACACAGCATTATTAACTAGAGTCACTGTGCTGCGTGTTACTGGTTGTAGTTCTTTCCGTGTTCTTGCTGTAAAACAGTCCTTTATATGAATGTAGTGCAGATTATTGGTTCATCCTCAGCTGACGGACCTTTGGGTTGTCTTCTCTTTGGGGCTGTTACAAGCAATGCTGCTGTGAATATTTCTGGACATGGCTTTTGGTGCATTTCTGTCATGTTGTATGTGTCAGGGGTGGAATTTCTTAGTCGTACGGTTTGCATATGTTCAGCCTTAGCAGATACTGCCCTCCAGTCCTCCAGAATGATTACCGTATTTACTTGTGCTTCTGCTGCCAGGGTGAGAGTCCTAGGTGTCTCCCTTTTGCACACACTTGAAATCACTCTTTAATCTCACACGTTGGTATGTGTGAGTGGTTCTCACTGTGGTTTAACTTGCACTTACTTGGCATCTAATGAGGTTGGATATCTTTTCATTAGATTTTTTGATATCTTCTTTTCTGAAGTGCCTGTTTACGTCTCCCCACCTCCCTTTTTTTTTTTTTTAGAAATCAGGCTGTCTTTTAGTCATTGACTTACAGGCATCCTTTATATATTCTGCTCTATTTTAAAAAAAATTCTGCACAATAACCCTATGAGTTATTATAATGACATTTTACACAAGCAGATACTGAGGTCGGAGAGATTAAATAACTTGTTCAAAGACACGTGGAATATTAGAATACAAGGATTATTTCTTCTCTCCAGTGGCTTATAATCTATTTAGTTGGGGAAATAACACTCAGAGAACAATTAGTCAGTAATATGAGCCAGTAAGAACTAAAATATTAACTGGGGTGGTGCAGGCTATGAATGAGACAGTAGTTAAAGGATCAGTGTGAGCTTCCTGGCGGAGGTGGGCGTTATTCTAGGACTTAAGGACAGGTATCATTGAGGAAGTAGAGAGAAAATGAAAATTCGTTTCAGAGGAGGTGAACCACCAGAGTGGAGGCACGGAGATGAAAGTAATAATATGACGAACACACCTTGCCTTTGAATAGCTCTTTGTAGGACTATAGGTGTCTTATGCAGGACTGTATCCTTCGTGAGGGCAGGGTCCATGCCTGATCCATTCACCAGGGCACGTTCAGTGCCCACCATTATGCCTGGTGCATAGTGACTGCTTCATAAATGTGTTTAAATGAAGTGAGTGAATGCATTCAATTTCAGCAATGTTCCTGTCAATTTAGTAGGATAAAATTGAAATAATCTGGAGGGTTATTTTTTTGTTTGTTTAAAATTCTGTTTTTAAGTGTGTAAATATTTGTGTAATTTTAGAGTGAAAAAATAAAATAAAACTAGGGGGAAAAAAAGATTTAAATGATCAAGGAGATGGTTAAAGGACAATTAGATGAGCAAACTCATGTTCTCAGCAAACTTTCTACCGAAAATTGAGATTGTAATCAGAGGAATAGATTATAGAACAGCGAGAAATGAGATGAAAACAGTGCTTTGCAAAACTCACAAGTGATTAAATGAGGAATAGACTGGAAGCAGGGGGACCAGCTAGGAGACGATTGCAATATTGGTATTTACTTACTTATTCAGCACAGATTTCTTGAAATCGCAGTACATATTTGGTGCTAAGCCCCATGCTAAGGGAGGATAGCAAGATGTGTAAGTTGTGAACCTTGCCATCAAGATGCTGCTCATCTGGGAGGGGAGCTAAGACACGCACACAAATAATTGTAATTCAAGGGAGAAAGTTAAAATAAAAAAGAGGCACAAGTAAAGACTATGGAGTTCAAGGGAGGACAACGTCCGCTTTGCTTTGGGCACCAGGAGAGGTTAAAGTGCTACAGAAGGCAAGTTTGTGTCCCCGCTGCGCCATGAGGCCAAACAAACTGAAACCTTGGAGTTTGGAGCAGAGAAAGGTTAATTGCGGGGAGCAAGGAGGACGGGGTGGCTCATGCCCAAGAAAACCCTGAATTCCCTGAATGGTTTCAGCAAAGCATATTTAAAGGCCAGGTGAGAGGCCAGGTGAGGGAGGGGGCTGTCGAGGGTGTGCGATCAGCTCCGGCACAATTCTCTGATCGGCTGGTGTTGAGGTAACAGGGTGGTCAACACTATCAACCCCTGGGTGCCAAAAAGTCTGGCATCCACATACTTTTGATCATCAAGTAGTTCATTTCTTCTCTTTGGTGACATTTTTAGCATCTGATAAGCTCAGGAAATGTACATGAGATACTATTATCTGGGTGCTTCAGAGAGGAGCAGCAGCAGAGGATATGAGGGAGGGGTCTGACCCTGGAAAGCCCCCCAGGGTCCTGCTCAGCTGCACAAGTCATGTCCTACAACAGCACTCCTGCCTGCCTCTGCCTTCCTGCTGCCCTGCCCCTCTCTGTCACACCGTCTTGCTTTATTGCCTGGAATGGCCTTGTTTCTTTAAGGCTGTACTTGTCTGTTGTTCGCCTCCCTCCGTCCTCATTAGAACACAGGCTCCAAGATGAAGGCTGTTTTGTCACTGCTGTATCTCGAATGCTTCACCCAGTGTTTGGAACTAACATGGATTTTCCAGTAAAAATTTTGGAATGGTTGAATGAAGTGGCATTGCAGTTGGAGCCTATCGGATGGGCAGGATTGGGATATTCAGTAAAAGGGAAGGGAGAGATTAGTTTAGGTGGAGGGTACCGTAGAGAGTGGAGGATGAAAGATGGCCCTGGAAAGCAGGTTTAAGGAAGAGTCTACAGTAGATTAGATATGGAGAATAAAAGAGACAAGGCAAATGGTGATTCCAAAATTTGTGCCTTTGAAGCCTGATCGAATGAGGATAGAGAGAATGACAGACTAAGGGAAACTGAGGAGACAAGCCAGGTTATTGGGGAGTGGTTGGCAATCTCAGGGCATTTGCAAAGACTGGCTTCAGGGTCACAGTCAAGTCTGAACAAGGTGAACTGAGACTCATCAGCTTATAAGAGATAATAGTAACTTGGGCAAAGGACAGGTCCTCAGAGGGAGGAAGTCCAGAGAAAGAAAAGCCTTTATAAAGAACCCACAATCCTGAAAACTGGATGAGAAGCATCCACAAGAGAGAAAGGAAGGACCAGCGAAGTGGGTGTTTCAGGAGGGGCAGCCATCGGTGTCTACTGCTCAGTACGTGGAGGTGCAAGGTCTTCAGGCTTGTCAGGTGAAGAGCAATGTCATCTTTAAAGCAGGAATTTTTGTAGGATGGTGGGGAAAAAAATGCCCTGTGTTAGGGACAGAATGGAGGACAGAAAGAAGGAGAGAAAAATTGATGGTTGCTAAATCATAAGAAGAATGTTTAAAAACTGTTATTATTACTGATTTTTTTGATTTTTTTGAATTAGAATAAATAACATAGACAGTTTAGAAAACAATTCAAAACTAGAGAAAATTAGAAGGAAGAATAAAAGTCAATTATAATTCTATAACCAAGAAGTGAACACTGTAGATACTTAGATGTATTTCCTCTCCATCTTATATATATATATATATAAATAAAATATAAAAGTTTAAATATATATGAAATATACATTAAAATAAGTATATTAATATATGTATTATATATTACAGACATATATAGTATATATGTAAGTCCAGTTGATATCATGCTGAAAGCACAGAGTGTTAGCTTTTCCACATGAGGAGTTTTCCATGTGAGTGTTGGTGCTTCATAAGTGCCCCTGTTGCAGACTGTACAATGACCATCAAGGGGATATTTAATAATTTTCATAACCTACTCCCCTATCATTAGAAATCTGAATTTCTGTACTTTTTATTATTATAAATAGTGGTGTGGTAAACATTTTTGTGAAGAAATTTTAAATTTTAGATTATTTCTTGAGGCTAGAAAGAATAATAGGTTTAAATAATTAAAGGTTATTAATTATTTATTTTTCTGATTGCAAATGTATTACATTTTCATTATAAAAAAAACTTGGAAAATGAAGAAAGTCTCCAAACAGGAAATAAATGTCATTTGCAGTTGTCCCACTTAGGGATAATTACTGTCAAAATTTTGGTCTCATACTCTGTGTTTATTCATCTATTAATCTTTGAGTGGAATCATATTTTATCTACTATTTTATAAGCATTGAAAGTTTAGTATCTTATGATACTAATTTAATTACATAATATCTCACCTTATAATTTCTAATGATTTTTGGCATCCCATAGTATCTGGTAACCATAATTTAGTTAACCATTCCCCAGATGATGGACATTTATTATTTCTGGATTTCTGCTGTCTTTAATACACTATGATGTATCTTTGTAGATAAATCTTCATAAATCTCTCTGATTACTTCCTTAGATTGTTGAGAACTATTTAAAATATTTTTGTGCGTATTATTGAATTGCCTTCTGGAAGGTTGTATTCATTTATACACCTATCAGTTGTATTTCAGAGTTTCTGTTTCTCCAAACTCTCTGTTACACTGTGTGGTAATTAAAAACAAACAAACAAACAACCTATACTTGTTCGATAAGCAAAATAACTTTTTAATTTGCATTTTGTTGAAGTTTAGTGGGGATTTCATGAATTTGTTGGCCATCTGTGTGTTTAGGGAGGGAATTTAAAGGATTGCTAATCTGCCTCTGAATGTGTGAGCGGGAGTGTTGAGGGTGATTGGGAGGGAAGAAGCCGGGTCCTGTTCAGATGTGTAAAGTTCTTTGGAACTTCTCCTGGGATAATGAGAGCGATTCATTGCTTTGGGGTGCTTGCTTCCCTTTGTGGTTCCTCTCTCTGAGGGTGACCCTGCTTATGTTCCGAGGCCTGGGGAGGTGCTGTTTGCTTTGCACCAGCAGGACTCTCATCAGGCAGAAGCTCCCTGGTGTGCTGTTGTAATGCTTGGCTGTCACTGAAAGAGACAGGACCATCTGAGATCTCACTGGTGAGGGGTGCACCCTGCTGGTCCCCGCGGAGCGCTGGGCTTGGTGCGCTGGCTGGCTGAGCTTGATTTTGGTGCTCCTTTTGAGCTCTGTTTGTTGGCTGCCGTATTTTCTGCTGCAGGTACTCGTACAGTGGAGTCGAACGGACTGCACCCCTCGCCACAGAACAGAGCCCTCGGTCTCTCTGCATCCTCCCTTCAATGTCTGACTTGGGGACTGAAGGATCACGTTCCTTCTTGGCTAGATTCTGTTCTCCTGCCAGCTCTTGGGGGCTTTCATCCTCCTCTTCCTCCCATTTTGCAGGTTCCTCCATCTCCAGGTGTGTCTTCGGGGGGACTGAACTGTACTCATCCAGACGTTGTACTGGCACCTCCTGGGTCTCTGGGGCTCCATCCTCCTCCTTGGTCCTTGAGCCCTGGACCTTTAGCTCCTGTCTTCTATATTTCTTTGCAGGGAGCTGCCTTGGGGAGAGCTGGCCCGTGAAGCCTGCATTCAGGACACCCAGGGGCCCAGTCTCCAGGGACTTTCTGTTTTCATCTCCCACTGTGGACTCCTGTGCCTCTGGGGGTCCACTGGGCTCCACTGCTGGGCCTGGGCTTTTGGTCCCTGAGCCCTGACTCCTGTGCTCTTTTCCAACAGGCCACTCCTGTTCCTCGGAGACCTGCTCATCCTCTGCCCCAGCTGCCAGCACCGCTGCCTCCGGAACTCTGTTGTTCTCACCCGGGGCTACCTGCTGCTGGAGGTCTGGGTTGTTATTGGGACTTCCTTGCACAGACTCTCTGGGTGGGTCTGCTTGACGCTGGGAATCCCCTTGCACAGACAGGCCACTTGTCTCTGAGCTGCTGTCACCATCTTCCGGAGTCAGGCTTCTGGGGGTTTCAGAAGACCTCTCATCAGTCAGTGTGACTATTGGCTCAGGATCCTCCCTCTGGTGACCATCATCCTCCTTGACTGGCTTGTTATGGATCTTGGTGACCTTCTTATTTTCTCCTCCAGACTGGTTCTCGAGTCGTGTCAACTCCTGTGTTCCTTCTCTTGCTCCTGGCGTCTCTTCTGCTTCAGGGACATTTTTGCTGCTCACAGGTACTTCTGCTGTGCCTTCCTCATCGTGTCCTGCCTCTTCTCCTGGGCTGATTCCTCCTTCAATTTCAAGATATTTCTGATCTCTTCCTTCTGAGCTTAACTTTTGTGTCTTAGAGTCTTCTTCAGCATTCTTTCCTTTCGCTGATTCCTGGAGTTCCTGATTCTTCACGTCCTCTGTTTGGTCTTCCAGGGCTGGTGGCTGAGTTTTTCTCTCATTTTCTTTCTGCCCTGCTGTTTCATGGACCTCAGGGCCTCTTACCTGTTTCCTTTCAACTCTAACTTTAAGTGTTTCTGAAAAATTTCTGCTGTCACCTTGCACTGGCAGGTCTTTTGTATCTTGTACTGGAGGTACTTGGGTCTCAGCTGTTCCACTGTCATCCTCAGGATCAGTTGATTTCTGCATCTGAAATGGTTTCTGGGCAGCGGCTTGTTCTGGCGGGTCAGCATGGTCTGAGCTGGGCTCATCTTTTCCTTGCAGTGGTGGCTCCTGTGTTTTAGAGGGCCCCTTAGCACCCTTTTCTCCTCCTGCAGCGTCCTGATCTTCAGATGGTCTCTGTGTCGTTTCTCCTGGTGGAGAACTTTGCATTCCCAAGTTCCCTTCCTGTTCTCCAAACTGCTCTCTTGTCTTAGTGCCAGCTTGTTCCCTGGCTGGTTTACCTGCCTTCCTGAGAACCTCCTGATCTTGCTTCTTCCTCCTGGAGGGACTGCTGATCTGTGCTGATCCTACTGTTGGCTTCTTTGTCTCCAGCTGGGCCCCGCTGTCTCCTATTGCTGCTACATCTTGGGCCCCTTCCTGGCTCTGTTCATCTCCTTCCAGGTGTTGGTTCTTACGGTCAACGTGCCCGGATGCTTCTCCTGGCAGTTTGTGAGTTGTAGTGTCTCCCTGGGGGTTCACCCTATCGTGTCCAGCTGCTCCCACTTCCTTAGGGTTGAGCTGAGTTGAGAATGCCATTTCTGAAGGAAACACCACTTTGTCTTGAGTTGATGAAGTTCCCTCTGTCCGCTGGCCAGTTCCACAGGTCCCCTGAAGATCCATGTCATCTCGTATCTCCTCTGGTTTAGACACTTGTCTTGGTTCTGAATTAAGTAATGATTCTATGTCAAGACAACAGACTTTCAACAAGTTGAAAATTGCAAGAATAAATTCATCAAAACTGATGGTGCCATTGCTGTCAATATCCGGAAGATTCAAGTTTCTCTCTGTAGCCTGGGTGGTGGCAGGTGGCTGCATGAAAACACAGTGAGAGATCAGCCTGTTTATATGTGGTCAAGTGCCCTGATTGTCTGTATGTCTTCTAAGAATCCTCTGTTTTTGACCCTGTTCTTCATGAGCTTGTGAAATTTCCCCACACAGAAAGAATTTGCTGATTCTAGTTACCGTTTTTCATCAGAAAGCTATGACTAGGAAGGAGCATTCACATGAATTGTGAGTTGCACTTATGTGCACGCTGGCTCACGACTCCTCTCGGAAACCTACTTTGCTGAAGCAATAGTCCCAGTGAGGAAAGCCTCTTTTTTCTCTATAACAATGACTAAGCCACTGAACAGAGTGGGAGGCTGGGATGGAAACAGAGTTGTTCAAAGTGAACAAGTGCTGAGAGCTGGCAGCCAAATGTAAAACAGGGAGGCATCACTTATGCCCATCTTGCTTGGATTTTGGAGGAAGGGCAAGTGAAGAAGAATTTCCACAGCTCTGTGAGCCCCTCACCTGAAGAATGTCCCCAAACTCGCCCCGGAGGAGCTCTTTCAGCTCTCTGCAGGTCAGCGTCGCCTCATCACCATCCACCCTGGCGTACTTGCGGAATGTCTCGATTACACAGAGGACATCTTCCAGGAGCTGAGGCATCTTTACAAACTCAGGAGACTGTGAGTAAGAACAAACAAAGCTCATTTCTTAGGATGGGTCCTTTAGGAAAGAGACTGTAGTGAGATCAGGGTTAGCACAGGTAGGTATTGGAAGAGACATGTCTCTCCACCCTGCAGAAAATAGAGACTCTCATGTGTTCAGAGAAAGCTTTACTGCAAAAGGAGGGTGGAAAAAGAACTTAAACGTTAAGTACTGATTCACAGATGAAGTGGGAATAGTCATTTTAGCCTCATCTGAGAGTGCCCACCTGTTTTCCTCCCATCGTGGCTCAGTCTAGCTCCTTGGCTTAGGCAAGTGTAACTTTTAAGTTAGAAAAGCTTCCAGAGGAAAGAGAAGTAATGCCAGGAAGGTCAGTCTCTGTGTGCAGGCAGAGCACCATGTTTTTACCAAGATGTAGCTCCGTGAACTCACTGGTAAAACAGAGTCTTGACCCCTCAGTCATTACCCATCATTGAAATGACTACAGGTCATTTTAATGTAGGTCTGAGTCCTGGTTAAATAGTATTGCTGCCTCTGTCGTACAAACAGTTTTTATTTTTAAAAAAGAAAAAAAAAGAAAATGATAAAGGAAGCTCGTGAAGCAAGCTCCCAGTGTAGGATCGTTAATAGTGGTTGACCTAGACTAAAAGTGTGTTTCTTCTGAAATCCGTATACAATCTCACATTAAAAACAAAACAGCAGCCGAGATTCTAAGTATGCACAAGCAGAGAGTCTGTGAGACTTACCCTTGTTCACGAGTGAGAGCAGGTGGATCGTGGGGCAGAGGGCTGTGAGCTGACGGGAGGCACTGAAACCTTTTATTGAGTCTCTAATTGCACAGTTAGGAAGGAGACACCCTCAGGGTCTAATGCCCTGATTCATCGCCACCAAACCCAGTCTCCCTTCGTTCTCTACTCTCAGTTTGTCTTATTTTTATTTCCTTTAGGCAGCTTCAGACTTACCCAATCCAAAGGAAGGGGAAAGAATACTTGTTTCATTTACTGACTTTTGCAGGTTGTGTCTTCGGGGGTGGAGCTGGCTTTTTTTTTTTTAAACCTAAGGACACAATTACATTTTTATTTGACAAATCATAGGGCTGGCAGAGATCTCAGGAGTCATCTGATTCCTCTCTCTGCCCATAGGATGGACTGTATTTGACCCAGCCTGGACAGATGGGTGTCAATCATGTGTTTAAAAATAGAGGCCCCACTTATCCACGTGACAAAGTGGAGATACCAGATGATTCAGGTGTTTCCATGCTCTGCATTACTTGCCCAGAGGCAGAATTAGGGGAAAAAAAACCTCTTGCTGAGTGTGCAGAACTTTGCTTACCTAAGATGTGCTGTTTTTAAAATGTGATTGATATCTACTCCTTAAAGGCATTTTCATAATCTGAGGAGCTTAGAAATGAGCATCCATATTATTGTGTTCTTTCTGTAAAGGGGAAAGGGAAACATAGGGACCACCAAGCCGAGGACAGGTAGGAAGGAGCCTAAGATGTTAATCTGGCGAATGTTTGGATTACCTCTTAGATCTGTGTCCCTCTTAGTAGAGAATATTTAATTAACTGGATGGCTAGGTTCAGTTTTTTTGGTAACATTTAAAAAGAGAATAGAGTATATTTTAATATTCTTCCATGCTTGTAAAAGGATTTTAGAAACAGATCCATGTAAATAAGTGTAAAATACAAAGACTGAGATAATGGAGGGGTGGGAACGGAGACAATTATATGAGAAGACAGAGGCTAAGGGAAGCACTGATGTTGAGCACAACCCTGTTCTCATCTTCCTAATAAACAAGGCAAGTACAGTGTTGCTGAATGTTGGAGTGGAAAAAAAATCTATATTGATAGTTTTCTCCTATAAAAAATATTTCTCAGCATTCCCCTGAAAAGGAGAAGTCTTCAACTGAGAAATGGGATTGTCATGTGAAGGTTATCTTAATTCTGATCAGTCAACACCCCCTGAGTACCAGCTGTTTCTCAGACACCGTGCCAGGCACTGGGTGTTTTAAGATGTGTAAGTTATGTCTCCCAGCCCTGGAGTCAGGAGCCAGTCTCATGAGAAATGATTCAAGGAAACTGAGTATGTTCAAGTCTGGATTGAAAAGATTTAGAGGCGGAAGAATAGCTGTTTTCAAACATTTGAAGGATTTTCATGGGATGCGGAGTGGGAGGAATAGAAAGGAGCTAATGTTCATTGAACGTTTATGACATGTCAGGAGCTGACAGGGGCTGCCTTACTTAATCCTCACGGCCCTTTTGTAGTTATCGTTCTCTTTTAACAGATAAGGAAGTTAAGGCTCTTAGTTGTTAAGTAACTTGCGCATGGTCACGTACCCTGAAAATGGCAAAGCCCAAATCAGAATCGAAACCCTTCAAGACTAAATGTCTCTGAGCCCATGCTGTCTCCATTGTCTTGAGTTCCTTATTCTGTGTAATGCCAGAGAATAGAACTAGAATCAATGGTTGAAACTTTCTAAAAAGCAGATTTCAATTCTTAAGACCTTTTTGAGGGATAGAGTTGTCTGACAATGGTATAGGCTGCCTCTAAAGTAAGGAGATCCCTGTCACTAAAACTATTCAAACAGAGGCTGAATCGTAATCCACCAGCTAGGTTACAGGAGAGGCCTGCCAATGGAAGAGGAAAGCCTGGAGTGTCTTACAGTGAGGCGCACAGAACTCTTCCAGTTCTGTCTATGGTTTTAGGTTATAGTTTCTACTTAGAAAGTCAAGGTTGGATGTTGCCTTGTCTCTGAACAATATGAGGGCTGGCTCCCTAGCCCTTTTATAGGCGTACCTAGTTTTTCAGTGCTTATTACTCAAGACTGTTTAATAATACCCATACATGGTGGGTAGTGACTCAGAGGATGGCAGGAGGAAGGGAATGACTGGATGGAAAGAAGAGAGGATGATTTTTTGTTTAAAAAAATTATTTAGATTACTATGCAATAAGCCACAAGCGACTCTACCATTACCAAAGAAAAGACCCTGATTGCTATTCTTCCTCTAAACAGACCCCTCTAACAGTTTCTCTGTAAGGTCCTCTCTGCTCTAATGTTGTATAAGGATAGTGAAGAAAGGAAGAGGTAAAGAGAGAGAGACGTGTAAAGAAGTTGTTTAATATAGAACTATGTTATAAGAGCCTCTTACTCTTCAAAGGTTGCAGCTGAAGTCTTGAAGGAAGCCTTCAAGGAAAATCCGTTATGATAGCTATTTTGGAAAAGATGGCTGAGAAAGCATTTTTTGATTCTCTATAATACTGGAAAATTTGGCAAGCAAAAAAGAAGGCTTAAGCTTATATTTATAATTTCATTATCTTTTTTATTTATCATAAGAATAGCAGGAGTTTGTTCAAGGAGATGATGGACTGAGCAAATATACGTTTTTAATATTCCTCCTGGAATCCTCTAAAATAAACATATAGTTATACAGAAAGAGAAGAATAAACTAGAATTGTGAACAGAACTAGAGACTCACAACTGAGTTTCGATAAATTTATGGATGAAAATTGGATGGTAGTGATTTGATATTCTTACATATTTCAAACTGATCACCATGGTAAGTCTAGTTAGGATGTATCACCATACAAAGATATTACATAGTTATTGACTATATTCTTCACATTGTACATTTCATACCTGTGACTCATTTATTTTGCAACTGGAATTTTATACCTCTTCATCCCCCTCACCTATTTCTTTCCTCCCCATACCCTCCTCCCCTCTGACTCTATTATAGACTTTTGGTTTGTGGTTACCATGAGATTTATATATAGCTTTGTGTGTGTGTGTGTACATATTTATTTATTTATTAAGTTGATCTCTTTAGTTCTAAGATGCATTTTAACAATCCTGCATTTTTATTCCCCTCCCCCCATGTTTGCTGGTTTTGACATACTTTACATCTTTTTGTTTTGTGTAACCCTGAACTACTCATTGTGGATATAGATGATTTTATTACTTTTGTTTTTAACCTTCTTACTAGCTTTATTCGTGGTTGATTTATTACCTTTACTGTTTGTTTGCATTTACCGATGAGACTTTTCCTTTCTTAGCTCTCATGTTTCTAGATGTGGGCTTCTCTTTTTCACTTAGGGAAGTCCCTGTAACATTTCTTGTAAAGCTGGTTTGGTGGTGCTGAGCTCTGTTAGCTTTTGCTTGTCCGGAACCCTTTTGAGCTCTCCTTCAAACCGGAATGAAAGACTTGCTGGGTAGAGCATTCTTGGTTGTAGGTTTTCCCCTTTCAGCAATTCAAATATGTTGTGTCACCTTCTTCTGGCCTTCTGCTGCTTTTCCTTGACTATGTATATATATATAAAATATAGTCAGTTTACAATGTTGTGTCAATTTCTGGTGTATAGCACCAAACTTCAGTCACATAGGAACATACATACATTCATTTTCATATTCTTTTTAACCATAAATTACTATAAGATATTAAATATAGTTCCCTGTGCTATACAGTATAAACTTGTTGTTTATCTGTGTTACATATAATAGTATCTGCAAATCCTGAACTCCCAATTTATCCTTTCCCACCCCCCTCTCCCCCAGTAACCATAAGTTTGTTTTCTATGTCTGTGAGTCTGTTTCTCTTTTGTAAATAATTTTTTTTTAGATTTCGTATATAAGTGATATCATATGGTATTTTTCTCTCTTTCTGGCTTACGTCATTTAGAATGACATTTTCCAGGTCCATCCATGTCACTGCAAATGACATTATTTTATTCTTTTTTATGGCCGAGTAGTATTCCATTGTATAAATATACCTCCCTCACCACTTTTAGTATTCTCTCTTTGTCTTTAATTTCTCTTGTTTCCAGTTTTTCATTATTATATGTCACTATATGATGAATATTTTGTACCTAAATCTTTGTGTATACCAAGGTCAAACTTAAAGAACCATAGTCCCCGCTCAAATGATCCCTCAGAGCCCTTCATAACAAGCATAATTTTGTAAATGAAATGGTTGATGTTTATTATAGGTAGCACACCATTTTGTTTTTGAACAGAAGAATGTTTTTACGTGTTGTGTAAGCGCATAATAGTGCACTGAGGCC